AAAACTATGTTGAACATGTACAAAATCTGCGTTACATCATGAATATTCCTTTTAATAAAGGTTTTCTGGTGTATTAGGCATTCTGACCTCTTTCCCGAGGTTGTTCTGGGCTCTGAGTTTTTGTATAGAGTTTTGTAAATCCAGTTCCATCCATTTTATTTGCAGTTTGATCAGTGTCAGCCATCTCTAATGGTTGGGTTCGATACTGTCTGCTCTGGATGAAGAGGCCGTGCTGCGTGAATTCGATCAGGAATGCATTTGCATCCAATTTTGGTTACATTTCCCCCGCTAGGCAGTGATTCATAATAAAACAATTGAACCTGACTACATTTGTGTCATGACGACTTAGCAGGCGAGCGATCGACGGTAGCTAAATCTCACTAGCTGTGCACACTATCTTGCAACGGCTACTGACAGCTGAACAAAATCCAATGATGTGGCAAAGTTTATCGGTAGATCGGAAGAATCGTGGCTTGTAAACTACACAATAATAATTAAACAATTGAAGTAGCATATAGATATAAAGGCAATCAAAGCAGTAGCCAGCATAAGCCGTTCATGGCCATATCTGTAGGAACGAATTGTACTCTGCAATGAGAAGAAGAAAAAGCAGGGCAGGGACAAAATTCAAATGGGCTGGACAACGCCTTTTGCACCTAAGTTACAGAATAATACGAGAGGATTGGAAAGCACAGTATACACCAAATGCAGGAAGGGCGTAATGGGGAACCAAAGGTATACAATCGAAAAGAGAACTCTGGAAAGAATATTGTACTAAACCAATTATCAACTTATGAGGTGCTGCGGGATCCACTGTGTGAGCTACAGTTTGTACCCAGTAACCCTTTTACTCAAAATGGGAAATTAAAAATCGTTGAATAAAGAAATCAAAATTACACCAATAAATCTCCGTCGATTTTCTTCATCAATCAATATATTTCAGGGATAAAGGCACAGGTGATGCCAGAAATGCAAAGATCGATCGAGGAAAGAAATGCGTGCTCGAAGTCATAATATAATTAGTATGTCTGTGGTGTACGGAAGACACTCAGTAATCATTGAAATAATGCAGAACGGAGGAGAAGTTAACAGGAAATTGCTTGGTTTGATTCAATTGTGAATAAAACTTATTGTCTTGCAGAGTGAAATAAGCGAAGCGAGGCGTTAGCAGTTCAATCTTTACAGTGCTCCAAGAAACAAATATCCGTCACCGTACATTTTGTCCACTGACATCATCAGAATTCGGAAGCCTCTCTTAATAGCAAACCCACCATTCCCGTTACCAAATTAAGGACATTCTATTTAGCATGCCCAGTCATGGCTCACAAAAGAATAGTGGCCTTTGAAAGTCATTTGTTTGTGCATCAAATGACCAACCTGTAACATCCGGCTTGATCATATTAATTGTGCGATTTATCACTTAACTAAATATCCAAATATCTATAAGGGTTATCCATATATAATCACTGCATTTGTATACAATACCGAGTCACGCTATGCGATGCACATACGGAGTTGCAGATTCCCCACGCTCACATATCTATTTCTCCACTCATCCGATCATCGAGATTACTCGTGATAAGGTGTGTGGAGGTAGGTTGGACAAGGGAAGCTTTAACGCTTGCACAAATTGTTTTGGGTTACACACAGGGGGTGTTTGTGCAGACGAATGCCCACAGCTTCTGCTGTGGTCAGCATCCGACAGCGATCCTACCTTGATAATCGCCCACGGAATTTATGCAGAAGGCGGACTGCTTCGGACACGTGCACACTGTGATTTCTTTCAGCTAGGCGTAAAACCACTGCACTGGTGAGTGATATAATCCGGTGTTCAGTCACGTAGGGCAGTGTTCACGAATCCATTCGGAAAATTGCCTGAGCATGAGGCCTATGTGCGTTTATCCACAGGAACCAGTAGATGAATAAAAATAGAATGAGATCGCAGAATCTGGAACTTAGTCCTTCAGTCGCAAGCACATCATTGGCTTGAATGTGAATAACACACGGAGTTTAACTTCACAGAAACTGTTATCCATTGCGTCAGAAAACCTTCTTTGTATGATGTTAATGTGTCCCTTTTCAACACAAAGTAACGTACACGGATTTTTTTATTAACCCCGGCGGTTTTTTAAAGAGTTCTCCGTGTACCGAATCATTTTGTTGACTTAACGCTCTGGATACCAGACGTGCAATTAATGATTTTATAATACGTAGCTTTCTCGCGTGCCCTCACCGCAGATCATTCATGCTTTGTCCGCAATGGCAATGAACCAGGTTCCTTTTGAGACTAAACCGCACAAAGCCTCAGAATTGAATGTATTGGTCTTTCCAAGTTGCATTTCTGTACACGGAACTATTCGATGGACGTGTGATGCAGACATCCAGAAATAACAGTGTTGTTACACTCCATTTCTAATGCAACACTTGTGATAGAATGCACAGTGTTGAAACTGTTTGATAGTTCCGTTGTGTTCGATATTGCTTTGATCGCATAATAAATATCATCTATTTATCGCGTGTAAAGTACACAGTCTTCAATAAATGATTGCCATTGAGTGTTTTCAAGTTTTGCCATGGATAGGTCAGCGAAAAGCGTTCCCAGCGGAGACCCAATGGCCACGCCATCCTTTTTCGATAGATTTCCCCGTTAAACTTGAATTGAACATTATACGTCTTGAAGTAAAGCGATTGTTTTCGGTCGTCCAAGGGGAGACCGCTCTCTACCTCGTTGGTTTGTGGATAACTGCACAGGTGGTAAATCGTTTCGCTGATGAGGACCCTCATGAATAACGAGCTGAC